GGGCGGCGAGTGGGCGAATAGAGCACGCAGGCCGATTGGAACGCCTGCTGCGACCCGTGCTCCCCGACGTCCCCAGAGCGAATCGGTTGCGGTTAATCAGACCTTTCCAGTAGTTTTGTTGAACCGCGTCAAATCGGTGATTGCTGTGAAGGATTTCACAGAATGGTTCAAGTGACGATTGTTTGACATGTATTTTGTATTAAATGGAAAATCACAGTTGTGTCTTTCTCATGAATTTGTATTGAAAAAAAGTCTGCTGTTATAGTTTTGTAAAGCTGTTTTATCATTTTCGCGTTCAGAGTTTACGTTTTTTCTTCTCTGCTCGTTTGTTTTGCTATTATTATACAACTTTCACTTATTCCCACTTCAATTGTTTTCCAATCCTGTCTGCTTTCTTGCGTGTTCTCACATTTTCCACTCATTTCTCTTAGCTGATCTAGTCCTATTTGTGCCCTACCATTCTCCTCTTGTCGTGCGTTACTCCTCCTAACATTTTTTATTCAAAACTACAACTTTATTATGGCGTATCATTTCTTGTATTATCTTCTTTCTTTTCGCGTCTCCTGCGTTTCGTCATATGTATTTTAGAGGATTTTTATCTTTCAAAAAGCTCTTTCTTTGAGTAGTTGTTTGAAACATATACCAGAAAAGGGTGAAATATCTGGTTACATTTTGTTTGAGTGCTATGGTCGCTCGCAAACGCGTCTCGTGCGTAGTAGGTTAAGTACGCGCGGCAAGACGCGCGCGTCGTGAACGCCCGTCCGCGGAGGCGCACGCCTGGCGCGGCGTCGGCACACGGGCGTCGCGTGCTGCGCGGCACGCGCGAGGCGGCGCGGCGACCGCGACTAACGCGCTTCATCTTCTTTTCTTCTTCTTCTTCCTCCAGGACCGCCACGCACGCGGCCACGCCGAGCCCGAGCTGGACGCCACCAGCAACTACGAGCTGCTGCTGGGCTACGAGAACGGCACGCACACCGTGCTGCGCTTCCGCCGCCGCTACTACACCTGCGACCCGGACGACTTCCCCATCACGGTAAGCACAAGCCACTTGCTCTACTCACGGAAACTGACAATCGTGTTGGGAGTTCTACCGGCCGTATTACTTGATACCGTCAAAGCAAAAATGTCGCTCTTTTCGAGAAAATGCATTCGAGACATACGTTTCCTTATTCCACTAAGCAATACTCTTAGCTTTTTAAGTCCACTGATATATTTTAATTTGTAAACTGATCTGCTGCACTGATATATGAACTGATAGTGATACAACCGCGTATTCGGATATACAATATAATATTACAACTCCTATCCTACTAATACGACTCTTACTTCAGCCATCTCTTGAAAAACTCTTCGCCAAAAGAAGCGTGGTATTCGCATTAAATACACACCTTTCAATTTTGAAAATTAAAAATTTAAATGAAAATGGCACGTGTACTATTGATCTCCTTATATGGAAATATACCATTACCAAATGTTTAAAGCCAACATTTAAGCACTTATTGAGAACATCTTAGTAAAGTAGTATTTGTAGATAATTGCCTCGAGTTCAATAACAATTTCGCAGAAACTGCCAATATTCTAAAAAAGTGTGTACATGAAATATTTTAAATATAGTATATAATAATAATAATAATAATAATAATAATAATAATAATAATAATAATAGAGGAATAGATTGCGTTACCAATCGGAATTTATTGAAAATAGTATTTTCAAATACATATTTAACTAGGGAGAAATCTATTTTTTCACAAATGTATTGGGAGGAGGATGTCCGTGAAATTAAAAATTAAAATTTTCAAAAATTAAGTGGTTTAAGAGAAAGTTGGACCTGTGCGTTGTTTAGGATTAAAAATGTTCCATTCAAGCAAAACATTCAAAGAAAGTAGTTGGAGCACTTTTCTTATTTTTCAAAATTCTTAAAACGTTTGGAGTCTGCACTACTCTAAATTCTATTTATAAAAGAAAGTAAAAATAAATTTAAACCTGTGAATTACACACAATTTTCGAGTTGTGATGCGATAATCAGCAATATGTGCGTCTTGCAATTCATACCTAGTTAGTATTCTTTTATAATGTAAATTTAAGAAAGAGTAAATTCACGATAGACTATTATTCTCTATTATTCTGCTCTTGGAAAATAAAAGTTATTATTGTGATAAGTTGTATACGAAATTTTCAGTTCTCAATGTTAAACAATTTTACTATTGAAAATTATAACACATTTGCTGATACGTGTCCACTGAAAATAAGAAACATTTTGGTGAATTTTCTGAGACTCATTACAAAATATCTTAAGTGTAAACGAAGAATCGGGAAAGAAATATACCTCAAGTTCCACAGTTCCCTTATCCTTCGGAGGCGAGGCCCGTGCGTGTCTCTTGCAAGTGAACCCCGTCCCCGGGGCTAGGCCAGCACGTGCTACCTCCGCCAGTGACGCGTGCTTGTTTATGTGTTTGTACGCTAATCGCCTATCATTACGGCTGCTCTGTGTGAGCGTTAACAAGTAGGAGAGGGAGAAGTGTACGGAGGAGGAGATTTTTTCATGCACCAAAACTTCCTTTCTTCTCCTCTGTTATGCGGTGTGTTGTTACAAGAAATAGTGTGGTGAGTATTTTGTCATCATTGCGGAATGTGAAGCTTGACAAGAGCTCTTTAGAAACCAGGCAAAGCCGACGGTTTCCTTTGTTAGGATGCAATTGGATGGGGGGGGGGGCATTTCATGTAGGCAGTTCATCTCCTGAATTTTAATACGCCTTAATTACATTTGAATTGCTCATTAAAGCTCACTAAGAAAGTCTGAAAACAAAAAAAATCACAAAATCGTTCTTTCACAATAAACTCTTTTGGAGTAAATTACTTGTCCTTTAAAAATTCACGCTGCTCACCCTTTAGTTTTAGTGTTTTTCTCACATTTCCTTTTGTCTATTGAGCAACCTCTCCACCATGTATTGATTCCACGGAAAACATATCTCAACGTCGCAGCACATTAATTGTATCGAGCGCAGACTATTTTTAAATTTCTTCTCACATATATTTTTCCAGCACTGACATTTTCGAAGAAAGAACTTAAATAACTTCAAGTTCGGCAATTATATCGATTATATCGTCGTGGGACTTCTTTCTCTAGTGAAAGACACTGGTAAAAACGGAAGATAGGGTACAAAAGGTTCATTTTGTCCGTTCATATTCTTTTTTAATTGTCGTGTTGGTGTGGTAGATTTTCGATTCAGCTAATACTGCGGAGTTATTACTTCGTGTTGCACCTTAATTACATCTCATAAGCCCAAGCCTACCCCTGTCGCTTCCAGGACTGGAGCCCTCGTTGAAAAGTTCGTGGAGAAGCAGCCATTAACTTCGGTCGAGTCGGGAAGGTGGCTCCGTCAGGTTCCCAATCTAAAGTTTCTGCTATTTACACAGAAGAGTCACTTTTTGTCCTTTTTATTTAATCCCGACTTGACTTTGGGAGCTCACGGCAGATATTCTTGTTTCAGGAGCGCACGGTTTCCGTTTTATTCGGGCGAAGTTCTTATTCCAATATCTGTTCAGCAATAATTCCCTCGTCCTTTATTTCCTCGTTTCTTAAAGTTTGGCCTTCCGCAATTCCGTGTTCTGGAAATTTATTATATTTTCTCTGACGTAATTTGTATGCATTTTTGTAATAGGGTTATTATAATTATATTATCATTTGTTTATACTACTTAATCGATATGAATATTGTCATTTTATTGATATTTACATTTTTTCTTGAATTTATTTGGAAACTAATATTTATGCATTGATATACCAGTAATCAAATGAGGGAGTTATATTTATTTAGTCTAGATGTTATTTTTAGCTTTTTAAATTTCACAGAAAGAGCAAGCAGAGAATCAAAATAATATTTTTCAAAAATTATATTTTATGTACACCACTAAAAAAAATAATGTATCCTCAAGAACTGCTTGCAACATCCTGTAGAAAAACTGATTTCACCAACAAACAAGGAACATTTTTGAAATTTGTTTGTATTGCTGTAAACTACACGTAGAGATAAAGAAGATGATTCGCAAATTGTTGTTTAAGGAACTTTCAAATGTAATTCATGATAGCCACTATCACAAGACGTGCATTGGTAGTATGCATAAGAACGTTTGTACGCTGGTTGTGTATGAATGACGCGTAATATGCGACAAGCTTCCTAGAAGGAACCGCTGTCCCGGGCTGACGCTTGATTCGGTGAGTGGAGGCCTCATCGTTGGCGACCTCCAGCGCGCGCCTTGTCACTGCAGCGGGTGCGGCGGGCTGCAACTCCAGTAATTTCCGGCGCGTCGGTGTTGTCGCAACGGCTTAAGCGGCTGCACCGCACCAGTCGGGCGGGGTGCGGCGCTGGGCGATTGCGGCAGGATGGTGCGCTGCGGTGGCGAGCAGCGAAAGCCCCACACCGACCGCGCGTCTGGAGGTGTCACCGCGCTCGCGCTCGGTCGCAAGCACGCTGGCTCCTGCTCGTTCCCGTCACTTGCCCCGCCCCGCCCGTCCCTACCTCGCGCCGCCCCGCAGGCGGCCGCCGGCGATGACGCGCGATTACCCGGCCACCCGCCGCCGCAGTCCGGGGATCGCCGCCTATTAATATAAATCCCGGCTTGTCCCGCGCGCAGACGGCCGCCCGTGGTCGGGCGCCGCCCTGCTCCGCTCTGGCACGAACGGCCGTCTAGCTGGCGAAAGGCGAATGCCAAAATACGGCCTTTTCGGACACGAGAAAGCTTTCTTGAAGGCACAAAGAAACTGCCAGCTTCAAATCGATCGCGCAGCACGATACATTTGTGTTTCTAATTCTTTCAATGGCAATTTCTTGTGTTTCGAATTTGAATGTCATATAATTCCCAATATTGTCTCAAATATTCATTCTTATTTTCGTTTCGAAGCGATAGAATTACTATTGGAAAGAATACAATTTTGTTTCCTGATGTATATAAATTGAATTAGTATGATTTGTCCATTTTACGTAATTTATTTAATAAACTTTTAAAAAATACCCAAACTATATAAATATCAAAGATAAATCCCAATTGTGAAGTGTTTGTTCAAATAGAGCTACTTCCATTAAGGAAAATTATACAGAATACGAAGAAAGACAGTTATTAAATGTACATAATTAGTCCCTTTTAAGCGGAATCACAAAGTACGGAGTATACGTAACATGAAAATAAACAACTGAATGTGAATTTCGAGAAAATTTAAGTACTGCAGTTGAATGGGATGGTGGAATCATTGTTTCATTGGAAGTGGAAGTATCTTCATCTAAACAGACACTCTACAATTATTATTTCGGTGTTACAATTTCTTATTTTTATTTTTTATATCTTCTCTGCTTTCTATTCGTTGGTGTTCGGGGAAAGGGAGTTAAGACATTTTTTGTTCAGGGTAAGTTAGGAAATTATGCTGCTTAGGGAGTTGTATGTCATAAAATCTAAAATGTATATGAAAAATATAGAATTAAAATGTACTGAATTAAATGTTTTTGAAATATTATCTGCTTTTCAATGGTCAGACAAGATGCTATTTCCACTTCTCTTCAAACTCACGTTTAAGACTTACCTCTTTTTACCCGAACACCATAGATTTTCCCTGCAGTTGGTGTGTTTGCAACGTAGCCGTGTCTAGGGGTAATGATTTTGGCCAGCCAGCCCAGCGATGACGCCGTGGGCGTGGTGTCACGCCTCTTCGTCAGTTGCCAGTTCGCCTCGTTGGCCGCGCCACCGTCCAGGCCGCGCTGCGCCCCGTCGACCGCTCTCCCGTTCATCTGCTGCGCGCACGCTCACGCTCACGTTTTCTCACCTTCGCCAATCGCCAAATGCTCGCCCCCCGCGGCTCGCTTCCCCTCCGTTTGGGTGCTTGTCGTCTTGTTTGGTTTGCTTCTCTTGGAGCCCCAGAAGTGTGGACTTTTCTCAAAAAAAGCAAACTACGCATTCACGAAGCTGATTGATTCTGGGGTGAGTCAGTCGGCGATGGTGTGCGCCGCTATGGTGTCTTATTTGTTATCGCAGAAGGGAGTATAATTCTCGTCCTCCTTAAAATGTACATTTATTTGAAGTGATGTGGCAGAAGACCGTGTCTCACGATCGTTGCCTTCTCACGAATAATAATAATAATAATAATAATAATAATAATAATAATAATAATAATAATAATAATAATCTACAATTTACTCTGAATAGGGAAAGTTCGCTTAGTCATTTCAAAATAAATATGTAGTATGTGATCTTGTATGTCTTTATGTATGCAATACGTAGTGCCAATCTATTTCTTTTCAGTCTGTGAATCTGGAAACTGGTACCCAAAATCAAACATGTACATAAAACAACAGGCGACAAATATAACTCTTGATATCGAGCATTATTAAATTACAGATCGCCTTCCTCCACATTCGGTTATTCGCGCGCAGACTCCCTTGCGCCTGAGTCTTGCCTTGGGCGTGCGCGCTGGCTGCGCCGATAGTCTGTTCTCCCGGCCTGCGGCTCTGGCCAGCCGCCCGCCTCGCGGGCCATGCTCAACGTCCTAGCCGCTCGATTGTACTGCCTCTACATAACTCATTCAAGCGAATGAATAAATTCGCGCGGCTACTTAAATCGGTGGAATGTTTAATACATGAAAGGAGTCCATGTATGTATACGCTGTGTTTTGCACATACATTGGTGTTGAATAAAGACTAGAGCGGTGTGTTTTGCGCCGCAAGTGAGAGTGTCGTTTTCAATAATTAATGCGGCCTGACATGTCACTAACATGGCAAGGAGACCTTGCAGACGTCAGGGGCGGCGCGCCCAGCGCTGCGCTGTGGACTGGGACCGGTTTGCGAGGCGTCTGCCAGAAGATAGAACACTCGCCGTCCGAGTAAAATACCAGCCTTTGCTGCTACACGACGCTCGACGCGCTGGAAGCCGGCCGAACGGCCCGCGAAGGACAGTATCTGAATCAGACACGGGCTGCCAAAGGCTGCGTCCGTGTACTGCCACAGTCGAACCACTTGAGACACATCATGCGACTCGAGAATTCGGTACCTGCCTCTCTCTATCCATGCTTCCATTCACATTCGAGATTCACTTCGTTATTGATGAGAGGTTTAGTTATCTCTCCCCTTGCTTTAAGGGAAAGGTGCTCCTTAAAAGTCGGATGTGCAAATGTTTTCATTAAGTCTCCGGAAATTATGTTTCAAACATTTTCTCGTTTCGTTTAAAATGTGAATAATTCTGTTGAATTAGTTACGTGTTCTCCTTTGAGCCCTGGTTGTTCAATGCGAATGGTATATTACCACTAACTGGGGCCCAGTTCCCCGCATGAGGCATTGAATACCAATTGTCCACTATCCAGGCCCATTCCGTCTGCCATTCAATGTGTACGGGATTTACGACAGCGCAGCGCAGTGCTGTGTTGACCATATTAGCTCATCTTAGGGCTAAGGCCTAAGCCTTGGGCCTCAGCTCTAAGGTAAGCTGATTTACTTACTCAAATCACACAGAAAACATTGAGGTCAAATCGGGGGTAAACTTAATAGTAGGATAAGCTATGTTAAAGTGGATAATGTATGTTAAAGTGGAACAACCATTACTTTACTGGCCAAATACAAACGAAAGAGAATTTTCTTATTTAGTTACCTTTGATTACGAGCGATTAATTGGACATAGGTATTGTGTGAGAAACATTAAATATTGTGTGATATTGCTAATCGGTAGTCCAGAAATTCTCTGGAACTGCGCCGAGAATTCTTGTGGCTTGTGGATTCTACTCGATCTAGTCGTCCTATTTATCGGAACAATCCCTCAAGCGTTGCCAGGCGATAGCGCGATTCCGAGCGGAGCTTTTCGGAGGAAAGGAATTAGAGTGCGGAATGAGCAATCTTCGCAGCGAATTTTGAGAGCTTTGCGAGGACACGCCGTCGCCTGCTGCTGTCGCCGCCGCCGCCGCCGCCGCGTCGCCTACGCGCAGGGGAATTTCCACAGCAATTTCTTTTACAAATTACGAGAGCGTTAGGTCCCGTGTTGAGAAACCTGTTGGAGTCAGATGTCGCCCCCGATGGTTACATTGTGCACATTACAGTTATGGAGAGCTTCCTACTTCTCTTCTCCGCGGAAATTATTCTCTGTCGTTAATCTGGGGAAAGGAATGGTGTCGGAGTGAACTTGACATTCGTTTCGACATTTTCATTTGCGTTCGTTTCGATATGGAAAGACATTTTTTTCATTCTCAAAATGATGCTTACACAAATATGATCCAGTGCACTGAATGTAAATGGAAAGAAACAAACAAATAATCATAATCGTAATAAAACATTGCTAATTAAATAGACAATTAAGAACACGAGTTCCTGACGAAGTGATTCCATATTGATTTTCGATAAATCCAGAAGTACCTATACCTGTAAAGTTACTTAATTTGCGAGTAGCACGGTCAACAATCTCATGGAATTGGTTTTTTAATATGTTATGAAATAAATTATAAAAATCATAAGTAGTAGTTTTGTTTAAACGCAAATTAGTCTGCTTAAATGAAATAATGACACTTAATAACGGATTGTGAAATGGGAGATTCATGTACGAAATAAGTTCTTCACTGATAGTGATACTCCTTGAGAAGTTGGGTACACTCCACGTGTATAATCTCCTTTTAAATGCTTAATACTCGGAACCAAAGCAGTTTATCAACTTTGCCTCATTCACTTTTCTTAGTGCGTTTGTTTATACACCGACAGACAACACGAGTGAGTTCGGAAATCAGCCACCTTCTAGTGAGAGAAATATTTAAGCAACCCCCAAAACATTGTTCTCGCTCTCAAAACTATTCGAGACCGCTAATTCGTGGGACCAGTTCAATCGAATTACGCCAGACCCTTTTCCGGTGGAAATTGACGGACGTGTACACGGTCTATTGGAATGTGGAACGAGGCCCCGTGCAAGGCATTACAGGAGCTATTTCGGCGGCGGCGATTGAGCCAAGCGGGTGAATGACAGGCGGCGGAGGGAAGTGGTGGCGGGGACCGCGGGGGGGGGGGGTGCGTACGGACGGGCAGTAGCTTGCAGGGCGGTGGTCCTGCACCCACCGCAGTTGTTTGGCAACGGTCATCGCCTCGCAATTAGTGCGACTGGCAGATCATAGGATCTGTTGCGAGATGTAAGCTCTCTCACAGATACCCTCGCCAGTGATTTTGCGGGTTTTCAATAGATCCAAGTGCTCGTAAATACCAGAGTTGTTTCAACAAATGGTAGGGGAGTTTTGATGTGATTTGCTTCCTGTACTCGAAGAGATGTTTCTGTTCTTTGAACCGCATTCTCTTTGTACGCAACTAATTTTAACAGTGGGAAACGATAAAACCTTTTCGAGGGTACTCGTCATTCAATTCCAGAACAACATTCCAGAAATGTCGCTGATTCACCTTCATTTCCAGTCTAAATATAGTATGAGAAGGAAAAAAATATTCTATTTAACCACCATTGTCTGCGCTTTCCCACCATTTTATCATTAATTACACTTTTTACTCATTGTCCTTAATTACACAAGTTTTTTTTCTTTTTTCAATTTTTATTCATTTCGTTTCGTGCGAATTTCATCTGACATTGCATTTTAAATAATTCTGTTCTTTGATATAAAATCGGAAATTTCTGAGAAATGTATCCCCGTTATTGAAGTTTCTTCTCCGAATAGTGATATACACTTTTTTCAACTTCGGTGAGTAACCGTCAGTTTCAAAGTAGAGAAGTAAATTCAATGCATTCAATACTTTTGCAAATACGGAGCATTTCATTAGAAAAACACAGAGAATGCGTTTCGCAAAAATAAATCAACTCTAAAAATACTCTTGAGAAAAAGTTGCTCAAATTGACTTCTTCTTTCATTATTTTTATCGTCGTTTTATTATTATGTTTTTGAAATTCTCAAATATATAACATGGACTCAATAATTAGATTACATTGTATGTTCTTTCTACGCGTAAAGAACCAGAACGCACTTAACGGAGATTTATACTAAGAGTCACCAAAGCGAGTAAATGAAATTAATAAATGATTGATTTAAATTAGGAACGAACTCAGAAAGTATTTCATAGCTCTCCCATAAGTATGTTTTGAAATAATAAAAAAATGTTCCGTGAAATTTAAAAAATGTATTAATAAAAGGAATACTCTTTCGAAATGAGTTGCAATGAATGTGTGATTATTGTTTTAAAAAAAATTGCCTATTATTACAAAAAATAATTGGTGGGGGTATGTGATCCATGGCCTCTTATCTGGATCCTCAACCGATAGAAATGATGCAAAACGCGCAAAGGCTAGCGTCCTTGCGGGAGCGGGCGCCGCGTTGCCAGCTGAGCCGGGGCGCCGACGGCGCATCTCCGCAGTCCGCGTGGTCGCGCCCAGGCCTCGCAAAGGTCATTATATCACTGCACGCTTCCGCACCATTTGGCTCCTATTCGTCGCCAGCTTTCCGCCGATTTTTTCGAGGCAGCGGCCTGCAAGAAACGGGTGAAGGGGAGGGTGAGGATCTGGAATGGGTGAGGGCGATGGCAGGGAAACGGAGTTAAGAAGATGGGGTGTCTGGCATAAAGTATATCTAGAAACCACGTATTTTGTCTTCGTAGTTCTAAACTACAATCCGAACCGTTATAGCTCATAAGGACATGCTGTTTGCCAGTGTGCTTAAAGATAAATTGGATGTATTAATATTTTCGGTAAATTTCATCCCTCTGAAATATCCCACGGTGGTTTCAGGACAAGTTTTAAAAAATGAAATCTTAAAAAATGATATATCTGCCACTCCCAGGAATGAAACTGGAGACGAATGTGATGTGGGGTTTTGACAGGCAGTCTTCAACGAGTGGAGGACATTATTTTGTCAACAGGAAGATATTTTCTAGGAATGGTACTGTGGATCGATATTGAATGGAATTGGTTATAAAGTGTTCGCAAGTGCGGGTGTTAAATATAAACGGACAGTGAA